CTTCAGCTGACCCTGCACGGCACTGCTGTCACCACCAGAGCCAGCTTCACCCCAGGTCACAACGGTTCCATCGCCAAGAATGGCGGCAAAAGCTCCCCAAGAGGCTTGGATCTGCTGCACATGCCTCAACTGATCCTGCACAGCACCGCTGTCGCCGCCAACAGCAGCTTCACCCCAGGTCACAACGGATCCATCACCAATAATGGCTGCAAAAGCACTCTCACAGGCTCGGATCTCCTGCGCATCCTTCAGCTGACCCTGCACGGCACTGCTGTCGCCACCAAAGCAAGCATGACCCCAGGTCACGACCGATCCGTCACCAAGAATGGCAGCAAACGCACAGTTTGTGGCTTGGATCTGCCGCACATTTTGCAGCTGATCCTGCGCAGCACTGCTGTCGCCACCATGGGCAGCCGAACCCCACGTCACAACGGACCCGTCGTCCAGAATGGCAGCAAAAGCGCCGTTAGCGGCTTGGATCTGCCGCACATTCTTCAGTTGATGCTGTACTTTGCAGCTGTCGCCACCAAAGTCAGCACGACCCCAGGCCACCGCCGATCCATCACCCAGAATGGCGGCAAAAGCAGAGCCGGAGGCTTGGATGTGCTGGACATTCTTCAGCTGACCATGCACAGCACTGTCGACACCAGTGACGGCTTGACCCCAAGCCACCACTGATCCATCGCCAAGAATAGCAGAAAAAGAAGCCACCCCGGACTGAACCTGAACTCTAAGCACATGCAAGGTCAAGGAATCACCGTTCTGTAGCTGCGACTTGGCGATCTCCTCGCATCCGTCCAGAACGACCCCAGACGAGTCCAGCAAACGCCCTTTCCCGACTCCAAGCGCGATCTGTGCCTGTTGTGTCAACGTCCCCACAGTTTCGTGCAGGCCTGCTTGCACGGTAGCTGTCTTGCCACTAAGCAGTGAAACGTTGACGGTAATCGACATGCTTCGGCCCTACACCCTGCCCTTTTCAAGGAACTACACTGATATAGAAGCCATAATCAGGAACCCTCATTTAGGGTACCTGTTTTAGTAAGAAAGGTAGGTCTTTTCGGCTACAGGTGTACCCTAAGATGTCGCTTTAGGGTTTAGGGTTTAGTCCTTAGTGTTTGGGGGTCTACGGTTTCGGGGATTTAGGAGTATGGGGGTCTTGGGGATGTAGTGCTGAGGTCGTTTGAGCTTACGGTCTCTGGGATCTCAAGCTCAAGATCTGATCACTTCAAGGCTGGCTGAGCAGTTATCTCCGGAGCAAGCCCTAAACCCTGAACCCAAAGCCCTGAACCCTAAAGCCTATAAGCCCTAAGCCCTGAACCCGAAACCCTCCTCCGAAATCCCTCAACCCTAAACCATAAGCACCCTAAACCCTAAACCTTAAGCACCCTAAACCCAAAACCCCAAAACCCTAAACCCTTTGCGGGATCCTGATACTTACTTTTTTTTTGTTTTTTTTTTTGAGGGGGTGGGGGGCGCAAACTAGGCTTCCTGGGATTCTGGGATCCCAACAGGATTGAAGGTTGGGTTTAAGGCTTAGGGCTCAGGGGGTTAAGGGTTTAGGGTTGAAGGTTTATGTAGGATTTAGGGTTCAGGGTGTTTAAGGTTTAGGGTTACAAACCAGCCTGCGACGCCTAGAGGATTGTGGGCTTTTTTGATACCCTGTGGCAGCCTTCCAGGATCCCCAAAGATCTACCGCAAGTCCAGCTTGGCGGTAAAAGCAACATACAAAACTTGCTACAGATGCCGGGAAGGTGCCCAGTCTGATTGCCTCCGAAGAAGATTTCACCTCGCCAGTTGCCTCGTTCAAAGAACTCGTTTCAGCAGCTCAGCAACCCTAAACCCTAAAGCCTAAACCCTAAACCCTAAACCTAAACCCGAAAAGTTGATTCCGTAGTTTGGCTTTAAGGCTGTTCTGGGCCGGGGGGTGTAAAACCCTCTAAATTTCTCTCACACACACACACACTAACACTTCCTGAACGTGGAAGGAAGATCCCTGTAGTGTTGCTGGGCTCCCCAATCTACGGTAGAACCCATGGGCCCCTAGTATGGGCCCTTGACCCTGGGACCTTAATATATCTACTATACACACTATATATACCCTTAAGGGACCCTAGAATCCCCTGAGGGCCCATGTTAGGGGCCCATGGGTTCTACCGTAGATTGGGGAGCCCAGCAACACTACAGGGATCTTCCTTCCATGTTCAGGAAGTGTTAGTGTGTGTGTGTGTGAGAGAAATTTACAGGGTTTTACACCCCCCGGTCAAGGGCCCATACTAGGGGCCCATGGGTTCTACCGTAGATTGGGGAGCCCAGCAACACTACAGGGATCTTCCTTCAAAACGCTCAACCCTACGGTCGACCCCCTCCCCTCCAACACTACAGCCTAAACCAAAATGTAGGGGCCTTAATACTGAGACTAGGGTTTTGGGGGTTGCTCATTATAGTTATAGTATAATAATACCACCAAACCCTAATTCTATTTCTTAAAACCCCTATAATAAGACCCCCAAAAAACAGGAAATAAGCAACAAGCAAACTCGCCCAACCCTATGCCTAAACCCTAAACCCAAAACCCTAAACCCCATATTACGTCCTGAGATTATAAAAGCCTGGTATGTCCGAAGTCCTAAGCTAAGCCTGAAGATCCATCTGGAGGCTTAGGGTTTAGGATTTTAGGGTTTAGGGCCCTAAACCCTAAACCCTAAACTTTAGGATGTTTCGTTTTCGGGCGTTGAACTTCGATTTTCGGGGTTTCGTCTTAGGCTTTTCAACGGCTGTTTGGGGGTTTAGGGTTTGTTGGTGCTTGATCTTTGTTTAAGTTTAAGGGCAAGGATTTAAGGGCTCAGACCCTAAACCCTAAACCCTAAACCCCCAAACCCTAAACCCTAAACCCCTAAACCCCTAAACCCCCAAACCCCCAAACCCCTAAACGCTAAACCCAGTTTAGGGGCTTGGGGGATTTATGGGGTTAAGGCCAGTTGCCTGGCCGGACTTTGAGGATGCGATGTTTGCCACGGTCAGTTATGTACATGTCGCCCTCGTGGAAGGTGACCGCGGAAGGGTCATCGAGCTTTTGCATATCCTGAGTTCAAGTACGTCTCTTGCGGGCTTCAGAGATTTAGGGTTCATATGGATAAGTCTCAAAATTAGCTAGGGTCTCTTTTTAGGTCCCAAATTTAGCACCCTAATGACCACGGACCTTAAAAGGGACCCTAGTTTAGAGAACTACCCATATCCTGACCAAGACGTTTCAAGGTTTGGGCTTTATGGGGGCTCCAAGGATCCCAATTCGGGGGCCGGCAATAGCTTTAGAGAAAGCTTACATGAGA